AGAAACTAAGAAACAGTTATATAAACAACCTGTTAACAAAAAAATTAATAAATACCTGCCATTCCTCGAAGTGTCCTAGTGAAGACGATCCTCGAATTTATCAATTGCTGAAGTGGTTCGTGTTTGGTGCTTCAACTGGAAGATGCACCTAAAAAAATATCAAATTTCACAAATGTCTTCAACACAAAGGTTTATTAAGAATAAGTCTAACTCAATAAAAAAGAAACAGAAGAAGGTAAGTAAATAAAAGGGATTACAGGAATTATTAAAATTGCTGGAATTAAAATAAATAGAAACTAAGAAACGGTTATATAAACAACCTGTTAACAAAAAAGTTAATAAATACCTGCCATTCCTCGAAGTGTCCTAGTGAAGACGATCCTCGAATTTACCAATTGCTGATGTGGTTCGTGTTTGGTGCTTCAACTGGAAGATGCACCTAAAAAAATATCAAATTTTACAAAAGTCTTCAACATAAAGGTTTATTAAGAATAAGTCTACCTCGAGTAGGTAAATATGAAGAAAATAAAATAAATTCCAAAGAAAAATATTAAAGTAAATAGAAAAGAATCTTCAAAAAGGAATTTTAAATTAAATATAAGAAAATAAAAAAAAAGCAGAAGTAGGTAAGTAAATAAAAGATGTTCAGGAAATTATGAAAGTAAAATTAAAATAAACAGAAACTAAGAAACAGTTATATAAACAACCTGTTAACAAAAAAATTAATAAATACCTGCCATTCCTCGAAGTGTCCTAGTGAAGACGATCCTCGAATTTATCAATTGCTGAAGTGGTTCGTGTTTGGTGCTTCAACTGGAAGATGCACCTAAAAAAATATCAAATTTCACAAATGTCTTCAACACAAAGGTTTATTAAGAATAAGTCTAACTCAAGTAGGTTAATATGAATAAAATTAAACGAATTTCAAAGAAAAATATTAAAGTAAATAGAAAAGAAGCTTTAAAAAGTCATTTTAAATTAAATATAAGGAAATAAAAAAGAAACAGAAGAAGGTAAGTAAATAAAAGATATTACAGGAATTATTAAAATTGCTGGAATTAAAATAAATAGAAACTAAGAAACGGTTATATAAACAACCTGTTAACAAAAAAGTTAATAAATACCTGCCATTCCTCGAAGTGTCCTAGNACCACATTCTTCTTGTAATAGATGGTTAATAAAGCTTATTTGATCAAAAACGCATTAACTTTCGAGACGAATTTCCTATTACTGTTTAGGATTATTAAAGAGATTTGGATAATAAAAGATACGAATTACAGTTAAAAAGAGTTACAGTATTCTTAGCGACAAAATGAGTCTCAAAATGAAATATAAAAAATAGGTTACAACCACCTCGGTAATCGTATGGCTTTTCAACAATGACAGAGCTTTCAACTTTAACTGGTTAATTATTAAATAAAGTTCCAGGTAACTAAGGGTTGGAAGGTTTTTATGAAGAACCAACACCAACCTTTCGCAACTATTTGGGATGCTTCTTCAAAGTTACAATATTGACACATAAAATACAAATTACGCTTGAATTGAGTTACGCTATTCATATCGACAAAAAGAGCCTTACTCATTTAAAACAATTCCAAATAATCTACAACTACTTCAATAATGGTATAGCTTTAAAACAGTGAAAGATCTTTTAACCTTTTTTTTAGTTAGTTTCCGAAATTAGACCACAACCACCTCGATAATCGTATGGGTTTAAAATAATGAAAAAGCTTTCAACATTAAATCGTTAATTTCTGAAATCAGTCCCTACATACTAATAAATAGAGAAACTAACAGATTCTCCTTGTAATACAAGTTCAAAAAAGTTTCATTTATATAAAGATAACGCATTAATATTCAAAACAAAGCATTATTTGCAATTTATAACAAATCCGGGGAATTGACTTGTTCTCTCGGTCGATCGTTCAGCATACGACTGTTAAAAAGAGCAAGTATTCGGATAATAAATGATAGACGATCACGCTCGAAATTAGGTACACTAATTTTAACGACAAAAGAAACTTTTTCTATTCAAAAAATATTAAAAGTAGGGCACAACCACTATAATAATCGTAAAGCTTTAAAAAAATGAAACAGCTTTCAACATTGATTTGTTAAATTCGAAAATCAGACACAAAACACTATTAAATAGAGAAATTAACACATTTCCTGGTAATACAACGTTAATAAAGTTTATTTCATACAAAAATGCATTCATTTTTAAGACAAATTTTTAATTACTGTTTAGGACTATTAAAGAGATTTGGATAATAAAAGATACGAATTACACTTAAAAAGAGTTACACTATTCCTTGCGACAAAATGAGCCTTTTCATATTTAAAAATATTAAAAATAGGCTACAACCACCTCGATACTGGTATGGCTTTTCAACAATGGCACAACTTTCAACTTTAACTCGTTAATTATTAAATAAAGTTCAAGGCAACTAAGGGTTAGAAGGTTTTTATTTATGAAGAACCAACACCAACTTTTGGCAACTATTTGGGATGCTTCTTCAAAACTACAATATTGTCACATAAGATACAAACTACGCTTGAATTAAGTTACCCTATTTCTATCAACAAAAAGAGCCTTACTCATTTAAAACAATTCAAAATAATATACAGCTACATCGATAATTGAATAGCTTTAAAACAGTGAAAGAATTTCAACTTTGGCTAGGTACATTTCGAAATTAGGCCACAACCACCTCGTTAATAGTATAGATTTAAAATAATGAAAAATCTATCAACTTTATTTCGTTAATTTCGGAAATCAGCCCCTGCGTACTAATAAATAGAGAAACTAACACATTCTCCTTGTAAAAAAATTAAAAAAATTGAATTTATACAAAGACCACGTATTAATTTTCAAAACAAATTTTTAATTGCAATTTATAACAAATCCAGGGAACTGTCTTGATCTCTCGGTCGACCGTTCAGCATATGACTGTTAAAGAGAGCAAGTATTCGGATAATAAAAGATAGACGATCACGCTCGAAATTAGGTATACTAATCTTAAAGACAGAAGGTTCGCTTTTCTATTTAAAAAATATTAAAAGTAGAACACAACTACTACAACAATAGTAAAGCTTTGAAATAAAAAATCAGCTTTCAACTTTGATTTTTTAATTTCGGAAATCAGCTCCATCACACTATTAAATAGATACACTAACACATCTCCTGGTAATACAACTTATTTCATACAAAAATGCATTAATCTTCAAGACAAATTTTTAATTTGTGTTTAGGGCTATCGAGGAGAGGAAGTATTAGGAGAATATAAGATACAAATTACGTNGTTCCAATCACTGTTCAAATTTACATTGATTGCACAACACGATATCGGATAAGTTTTCTTTACTAATCTACGAAAACTAACGCGATAATTTAATTAATTAATAGCACTCGATACTACCCATTAACATGGCGCCGAGTTAATAATAACAGTAAATTGTAATATTAATTTTTATTGTTCGTGTTAGATCGGACCTGGACAACCAAGTACTTTTCTTTTACAGGAAATGTTTCAATTTCTATCTCTTTCTCACTCTCATTATATCTATCTCGTTCTTTCATTCGTGACGAAGCAAGCCTTTTTGATAACGACGAATTTGCTTTTATTAAAGTGATGAAAAAACACAGACAAGTATATATCGCCTTGAAAGAGCAAAAAACGATAAATAAAACGACATCAAAAAATAACAACATGTACCGAAGTAGCCTATATACGATACAGTAAAATGAGTTCGGTTTTTCGACAATTATTTTGAAAGATGTTAAAGATGAATGCAATGCATAAAAATGTGAGGAATAACGTCCTGAAAACGGTTTTTAACTGCAGTGCAAATTAAAGAAAATTTCATTGTTAAAACGCGAAAAATACATAGAAATGTTAAACAAAGAAAAGCGCAACTGAAATTTCGGCCTGTTAAAGAATTATTTTGAAAGATGTTAAAGGTGAATTTCATCAGTATTTCGTTAATTTCAGAAATCAGCCCCCACATACAACTACAACATTCTCCTTGTAATTAGTTTAATTTTGTACAATGACCACGCATTAATATTCAAAACAAAACTTTATTTGCAATTTATAACAAATCCAGGGAACTGCCTTCTTCTCTCGGTCGACCGTTCAGCATACGACTGTTAAAGAGAGCAAGTATTCGGGTAATAAATGACAGACGACCGCGCTCGAAACTAGGTATATTAATTATAACAACAAAAGGATCCTCTTTCTATTTAAAAGATATTAAAAGTTGATCACAACCACTACAATAATCGTAAAGATTTAAAACAATGAATCTGCTTTCAACTTTGTTTTGTTAATTTCCGAAATCAGCCCCAAAACACTATTAAATAGAGAAACTAACACATCTCCTGCTAACACAACGTTAATGGAGTTTATTTAAAATAATGAAAATGCTTTCAACATTGATTTGTTAATGACGGAAATCAGCCGCCACATAATGTTATTTAATATTAAATAGTGAAAGTAGCACATCTCCTAGTAATACAAGGTCAATAAAGTTTATTTCATACAAAAACGCTATAATTTAAAAGACTAACTTTCACCTGAAGTTATGACTATCGCAGGGTGAAAGTATCCGGGAATATAAAAGACATACTGCACTTGATTTGAGATAGACCATTCATATCGACAAAAAGGGCATAACTAGCTTATAAAATTTGAAAAAAGTCTAAAACAACTTCGATAATTGAATAGCCTTAAAACAGTGAAAGGAGTTTCAAGTTTGGGTAGTTAGTTTCCGAAATTAGATTACAACCACCTCGATAATCGTATAGGTTTAAAATACTGAAGAGCCTTCAACATCAATTCGTTAATTTTGGAAATCCGCCCCCACGAACAACCAAATAGAGAAACTAATACATTCTCTTTATAATACAAATTTAAAAAAGTTTAATTCATACAAATATCACGCATTAATATTCAAAAAAAAGCTTTATTTGCAATTTATAACAAATCTAGGGAACTTTTATCTTCTTTAGGTCGATCGTTCAGCATACGACGGTTGAAGAGAGAAAGTATTCGGATAATAAATGACAGACGATCACGCTCGAAATTAGATACACTAGTTTTAACAACAAAAGGATACTTTTCCTATTTAACAAAATATTAAAAGTAGAGCACAACCACTACAATAATCGTAAAGCTTTAAAACAAAAAATCAGCTACCAACTTTGATTCGTTAATTTCGGAAATCACACTATTAAATAGATAACACATCTTCTAGTAATACAATGTTAATAAAGCTTATTTCATACAAAAATGCATTAATCTTCAAGGCAAATTTTTAAATTGTGTTTAGGGCTTAACGAGGAGAGGAAGTATAAGGAGAATATAAGATACAAATTACGATTGATTTGAGTTAGACTATTCATATCGACAAAAAGAGCATTACTCAGTTAAAATTAAATTAAAAAACAATAATAAAAAAGTTATATTAAAACGAGCAAAATGTCCTGTTCTCTTCCTTAACCGTTCAAATAAACGACTGTTTAAGGGGCAAGTATTCGGAGAAAAGACTAACTATTCTATAACTACGGAAAGGTGTTTATGTATTATATTTAAAAAAATATTGAAAATAATCTACAACCATCTCGATTGTAGTAATATTTTCAAGCAATGAAAGAGCTCTGAACCCCTGTTCATTAATTTTCCGGATATTACTACAAAATTTATGAATAAACGAAGCAACAGTTTTAATACGTTACCTAATTACGAAATTACTTAATCAAACCAGGGAAATGTCTCGTTCTCTGGGTCGACCGTTCAAGCATACGACTGTTAAAGAGAGCAAGTATTCGGAGTGCAAAAGATGGAAAACTACGCTCGAAGAAAAGCTAGAACTATGTTTTATTATATATAAAAATATTTAAAAAGATGTTACAATGGAAGAACTTTCAAACTCAGTTCATTAATTTATGGAAATTAATTTCCGTAAGTAGGTAATTATAAATTAACATAGTAATTATTTTTATTACCAACACAAGTTTAAGAAAGTTTAATTCATTTAAAAGAAACGTTATCATTTTTAAAACAAAATAATTGATGTTTTTATTAAAACCACTGCAACTGTTTGTATTCCGACCGACTTTCCATACATTCCAGTTATGGTAAAAATG